CCCCCCCCCCCCACCAACACCAACCCACCGGAACCGATGGGGGACTGATAATGTTTTGAAACTTTTATATTACTACAGTACTTTTATGAATAAGTTTTATGTAATTCTGTAAAACATTTTTAAAACATTATCACGTCATTTTTATGTAAACAAACAAGTCACATCAAAATGTTTAGTTAACATCTATTTTGAAAGAAAAGGTTTTAATCCAAAAATGATTAAAGCTTTAAGTGGTATCCAATATACATTAAAGAAATCAAATCAATTGCATACTTTGACACCCTAAGCTGACTTGCCTACGTAGACCCTTTAGCAGTTTATAATTATGTGAAAGAGAAGAAAGAAAATGATGCAAACAGCAATGTTTTACAGCACAACTCAATGATTCCTATTTCTTATTACTGCAGTCATAAACAAGCAGCCTAAGTGACACTATATCAGCGGCAGGAGCATACGTGTTCTAGATCTGCTACTGCGTAAATAATTAATACGCTAAATCGCATTGAAACAGAATGAAGCAATAAAGCAGAAATAGAACATACATATAGAACTTACCATACAATGATTGACCTCGGTCTACAGACACAGAACAGTCTAACATAGAAACTATCCTACAGGTCAACGACACTGCATGGGTTTGGTTGTAAGAAGGGTTAGTTATGATGTCAAATGTTTCCAATGCGATGGCTTTAACATTTAATATGACCGCTACAATCTACTTTCTATTGAGTATTAAATACAGGTGCAAACCTTGTACTTTGTAAAGAAGTAATTATTGCCTACCACACTTTTTAAGGGAGTAACCATTGGCTACTATACTTTGCAAGGGAGTGATCATTGTCTACTGCACTTTGTAAGGGAGTGATCATTGTCTACTGCACTTTGTAAGGGAGAGATCATGATTGCCTACTGCGCTTTGTAAGAGACTGATCATTGCCTACTGCACTTTGGAAGGGAGTAATCGTTGCCTACTGCACTTTGTAAGGGAGTAATCGTTGCCTACTGCACTTCATTAGGTCGTAATCATTGCCTACTGCACTTTGTAAGGGAGTAAACTTTGCCTACTGCACTTTGTAAGTGAGTAATCATTGCCTACTACACTTTGTAAGGGACTAATCATTGTCTACTGCACTTTGTAAGAGAGTGATCGTTGCCTACTGCGCTTTGTAAGGGGGAAATCGTTGCCTACTGCACTTTTTAAGGGAGTAATCGTTGCCTACGGCACTTTGTAAGGGACTGATCATTGCCTACAACACTTTGTAAGAGAGTGATCATTGGGTACTGCACTTTGTAAGGGAGTAAGCATGGCCTACTGCACTTTGTTATGGAGTAATCATTGTTTACTGCACTTTGTAAGAGAGTGGTCATTGCCTACTGCGCTTTGTAAGAGACTGATCATTGCCTACTGCACGTAATCGTTGCCTACTGCACTTTTTAAGGGAGTAATCGTTGCCTACGGCACTTTGTAAGGGACTGATCATTGCCTACAACACTTTGTAAGAGAGTGATCATTGCCTACTGCACTTTGTTATGGAGTAATCATTGTCTACTGCACTCTGTAAGGGAGTAATCGTTGTCTACTGCACTTTGTAAGGGAGTGATCATTGCCTACTGCACTTTGTAAGGGAGTAATCATTGTCTACTGCACTTTGTAAGGGAGTAATCGTTGTCTACTGCACTTTGTAAGAGAGTGATCATTGCCTACTGCGCTTTGTAAGGGAGTAATCGTTGCCTACTGCACTTTGTAAGGGACTGATCATTGCCTACTGCACTTTGTAAGGGAGTAATCATTGTCTACTGCACTTTGTAAGGGAATAACCATTGCCTACTGCACTTTGTAAGGGAGTAATCATTGCCTACTGCACTTTGTAAGAGAGTATTCATTGCCTACTGCACTTTGTAAGGGAGTAATCGTTGCCTACTGCACTTTGTAAGGGAGTAATCGTTGTCTACTGTACTTTGTAAGGGAGTAATCATTGCCTACTGCACTTTGTAAGGGAGTGATCGTTGTCTACTGCACTTTGAAATGGAATAATCATTGTCTACTGCACTTTGTAAGGGAGTAATCATTGCCTACTGTACTTTGTAAGGGAGTAATCATTGCCTACTGCACTTTGCAAGAGAGGAACCTATTGCCCTTTTTTCAATCTATTGTTATATATTGCATGTAAGCAAGTCTTAATGCACAATGGGTTTTTTCAATAAAGATGTTTAGAGTCTATGTTGTCATTCATGTTTATTAGGAGTCAATCATGCCTGCCCGTTCAGTTTGATAGAAATTGAAATTTACACTTCATGACAGCTTTAAATTGTAACCAAAGAAAACATGTGCCTTGATTCAAATCAAAAAGTAATTCCTTCATTTGGCTGATACTGTATAAGCATACAGCATGTAAATAACTAAGGAACATAAAGTGGGTCCTCTTAGAATTATACATTTCTGTCTAGAGGAGTAAAGTACCAAAACACATATTCTGAACATATTTCCAATAGTTTGCAATTCAGTTGCTTAAAAAGATATTTTTTAGGATGTGTACCACATAATATGGGATACAATTTTCCACTGAAAGCAATCATGTTGTATTCTCTCAGAAATGTTAAGAAAATGCATTTAAAAAATACAAATGATCACTACTTCATTAATGCTTACCTATATCCTGACAGCAAACACAACATGACTGGCTGATTTATCATCAAACCCTTAGTGGCATGTATACCTACTTAATGATCTCCCTAAAGTGACTATTTAATATCTGTATGTTTTAAACCACTAACAACTCACACAATCCCTTATCTTTTTAAATCTGTACTTGTTTACACAAATCATGCTATTAGACTCTAAAAGAGTATAAAGTAAATATATAAGAGAACAACGATAATAAACCAGAACTTAACCTCGTGTCTAACTCACCTGGTATATGTTCAGGGTCTATCTGTATCGATCTGGTGCGCCTCACAATACCAGCCACTGACGACTTCGCGGGGAATCGTCTCCCTTTCTTCCCCTTCTTGTATGACAGTAGTTTTGGTCTGGCACAACTACCATGGTACAGACCCTCAGTGATACTGGCCACATATTCATCTGGAATACAACAATATAGTACAGACCCTCAGTGATACTGGCTACATATTCATCTGGAATACAACAATATAGTACAGACCCTCAGTGATACTGGCTACATATTCATCTGGAATACAACAATATAATACAGACCCTCAGTGATACTGGCCACATATTCATCTGGAATACACCAATTTATGCTACATGTACATCCAAAGGGAACAATAAATATTGCTGAGAACAGACAAATACTCTGTAATGAGAGTTTTTATATATACAATGTACAAACGTACTAAATCAAGCCCCTCCAATTATACTGTTGTTTTTTTCCAGGGACCAATTCAACCAAATTATAGGTACCATGGGAGTATTCATTTGAAAATTGATCTCTATATCCCCAATTGGCCCTATGATTCTGCCTCAAAGGGGTACAAAACTAGTTCAAGTTAAACATTTGTGTACTTAAGCTTGTACTGCAAGTACTACAGGAGCATGATTTTAAATATTTAATTCTTTTTTTCTGTTTGGTCATATTTCCAACCTTTCTGTCCTCAGAGGGTCCACACTTTCCAACGTTACAAAGTTGGGTCCTATCCCAGGCAAAAATTAAGTACTTTGGGGTGAAAAAGACTTTAAAGGTTTACATATATTTTCCTTATTGGGCCCATCCCTTAGCCCCACAAGGCAACAACCTCCATTTATACAGTATTTGTAGTCCAGAATGTTCCTTACTAAATGAAGTAAAATTAATTCCTTCAGCCATTCTGTAATAGACGATAAATGATGAACATCATGCTGACATAAATTTTCTCTGACCTTTGGGACCATTCATTATGTCTGCCCTTCGGGACCATTCATTATGTCTGCCCTTCGGGACCATTCATTATGTCTGCCCTTTGGGACCATTCATTATGACCTTCACCATGAAATGACAATACTGGGAGTGCAATGTGATAAGATCTTGTGGTGCTGTTATACATTTGCCTAATAAAGCTTCATCAAAAATCTCCACTGGCAAACGCTTATTTTTAAAGTTTTGTAAGTAATAAGAGTAAAAGAACAAGAGATCCCAGAGTGATCTTGGCACCCATCATAGTACCATCTTCATTGGTTTATGTCAGTTTGATCTTTTCTCTTCTTTTCTCTAATCTGTTTAATCAAGTCATTCAAACAGTAAATGCATTGTTTCATGTATTTACTAGTACAGTTCTTTTAATGTTAGAGAAATATATCCAATCATTACAATATCAGAAAGATCTCATTAAGTTGTTCCTGTGGCCATCTTGTATTTATGATCACTCTCCAAAGTAAACCTACAACCTATATATTTAATTTGAGAAAGACCCCTCAAGAACTTCCTTGGAAATAGCGATAACAAACATTCACTGTCAAAAACCAAGATGGCCATTTTGTTTATCTGATCAGTCTCAAAAGTAAACATGCACAACTAAAATTGAGAAAGATCCCGCCAAAACTTCCTGAGAAATAGCGATAGCAAACATCCGCTGTCAAAATCCAAGATGGCCGTCTATCGACCATTTTGTTTACTCTCGCACATCTATGACCCAGTATTAAACAAAGTGTAGCTGAATCGAGTCATTTCGGTACGTATATAACAACTATTGTACATACGCTTACAGCGTAGCCGAATCGACATCAATTTTGTGGACAACTCGTACACATTGTACACCTCTGTGTCCATACGCTTCACTGGTCATTTGTCTGATGAAGGTGACAGAGTACATACTGTACTAGTCATAGAAACATCACATAGAAACACTTATTGGTTGTGTAAAAAGAACTTTTCATAATCCATACTTACCAACCTGAAGAAAATGTTTAGAAATACCTTAACAGGTATTATACATTTATCAAGATCAATCAATTAATTTTCACTTGGAATCGCCAAAGTTTACATTTTATATGTACATCAAACAATAAGAGTTTTTTTCCTATGGGAAGCAGCCTGTATTGTGCTGTAAAACTAGGATTGTATACACCATATTGTTAATACAGTAACAGTACAGGTGGGGCACAAATGGGCGCTGGTTAAAGTGAAAATATGTGCTTGTAGAAATTAACTTATTAGAATGACTGAGTATGATGTATAGTCCAAATCATTGTAAGTCTGCCTATAGGTGTAACACACCACACACAGTAGGAGTATGAGTTGGTTTAGGTTTGTATTAGGTAAAACAAAAATACTATTTTTCAAGACTGAAGTGCAAAAATTCATAAAAAAATATGTATCAAGAGAAAAATGCTTCAAAATGGAGGACAGATTTGTAGGAAATTAAGGAAGATATTACTCTGAAGCTCAGAGTTTTGAATTCTTACATTTATGATTCAATGAAATTATGGATAAATCAAATGATATATACCCAATTGCTGTCAAAAAAAAATTCAACTCTTTACTAGAACAAATTTCAACTTCAGTTAAAAAACATTAAACCTTTGTGAGAAACATTTCATTTACATTAGGAAACATTCCAGCTTTTGTTTTGAAAATTCAAATTTCAGTCAGAAAACGTCATAAATTCTGTTGGAAACGTTCCAACTACAGTAAGAAAACTTTTCAAATCAGCATTTTAAATCAAAGATGGATCTTTGTAGTCTTGTTTAACTGAGAGAGCTTAGACAACATTCTGTCCTGATTCGGTCTTTGGACAAAATTAGACAAACGAAACCTTTTGTAAATATTTAATCTTTTTCAAAAGTAAAATTTCAAAATATTTTACAAATACATGTTATATTTTGTTTTTAGTCTGTCAATAAGAATTAGTTTGTGTTACATAAATATATACAAAGTATTCACATAAAATGTATAAGGACTGCTTGACTGCATAGCCTCTTAGCCCATGCCAACTGTCATTGCAAAAGAGACAAGATCTGCCTCAAGTTTTAGCAAGTTTCGTAAGACCAAATAATCTGTGCTTCAAAACACAAGTTATTGATAAAGCATCTAATTTTTTATTAGGAATGATTTAATAGCCGGAACAAACTTAAGGTATTTATAGCCTTTGACAAATTTTAAAAGGTTTTGCAAAAAATGAGTTTCATTCATGGTTTTGTCTGATGACAACCACTTAAAATACAAGCAAATGAATTTTTGTTTTTAGTTCAAATTCAAATTCTATCTTTACTGTTGTCAGGAGACTAATGTAGATACAAATGCATAGTTTAAACAGTATATAAAATATCGAAATACTGCTGACTCTGATGTGCTTTCGCAAACTCATTTATATCTGTTTTACAATGACAGATTATTGCAATTGCAAGCAGCAATGGAAAACATTATTTTTATACTAAGTCTAAAGTAAGACCATAAAAATTTATCAAAATGATTTCTGTTTTCTACTTACTCGTCACCTGCTGATCTGAAAATGAGACCTCAACATAAGTTTGCTACAACATTGACAGGAAACTCTCTCCAATACCAACTACCTGGGAACTAGCCTGCCTACATGCATTTTAACCCAGACCAGTGTTCTCTGCCCAGACTACCATCTCCTGCCTATCCTTGTTACAGTATGTTCATTGTTTTGAGTCTGCCTCTAACACTAGCTACCATCTCCTGCCTATCCTTGTTACAGTATGTTCATTGTTTTGAGTCTGCCTCTAACACTAGCTACCATCTCCTGCCTATCCTTGTTACAGTAAGTTCATTGTTTTGAGTCTGCCTCTAACACTAGCTACCATCTCCTGCCTATCCTTGTTACAGTAAGTTCATTGTTTTGAGTCTGCCTCTAACACTAGCTACCATCTCCTGCCTATCCTTGTTACAGTAAGTTCATTGTTTTGAGTCTGCCTCTAACACTAGCTACCATCTCCTGCCTATCCTTGTTACAGTAAGTTCATTGTTTTGAGTCTGCCTCTAACACTAGCTACCATCTCCTGCCTATCCTTGTTACAGTAAGTTCATTGTTTTGAGTCTGCCTCTAACACTAGCTACCATCTCCTGCCTATCCTTGTTACAGTAAGTTCATTGTTTTGAGTCTGCCTCTAACACTAGCTACCATCTCCTGCCTATCCTTGTTACAGTAAGTTCATTGTTTTGAGTCTGCCTCTAACACTAGCTACCATCTCCTGCCTATCCTTGTTACAGTAAGTTCATTGTTTTGAGTCTGCCTCTAACACTAGCTACCATCTCCTGCCTATCCTTGTTACAGTAAGTTCATTGTTTTGAGTCTGCCTCTAACACTAGCTACCATCTCCTGCCTATCCTTGTTACAGTAAGTTCATTGTTTTGAGTCTGCCTCTAACACTAGCTACCATCTCCTGCCTATCCTTGTTACAGTAAGTTCATTGTTTTGAGTCTGCCTCTAACACTAGCTACCATCTCCTGCCTATCCTTGTTACAGTAAGTTCATTGTTTTGAGTCTGCCTCTAACACTAGCTACCATCTCCTGCCTATCCTTGTTACAGTAAGTTCATTGTTTTGAGTCTGCCTCTAACACTAGCTACCATCTCCTGCCTATCCTTGTTACAGTAAGTTCATTGTTTTGAGTCTGCCTCTAACACTAGCTACCATCTCCTGCCTATCCTTGTTACAGTAAGTTCATTGTTTTGAGTCTGCCTCTAACACTAGCTACCATCTCCTGCCTATCCTTGTTACAATAAGTTCATTGTTTTGAGTCTGCCTCTAACACTAGCTACCATCTCCTGCCTATCCTTGTTACAGTAAGTTCATTGTTTTGAGTCTGCCTCTAACACTAGTTTCCATCTTCAACTTAAAATCTGTTTATGTCAATTTTACTGCAAAAGTAACAATTATGATTTTTATGAGGATAAGAAACCGTAAAATCAGGATTAATACTGGTGTCTCCATCTCACAGCAATTATATATTTTTGTCTCCATTGTGAAATGCTTTCGAAAAGTAGTGATAAGTGGTGATATATTTCTTTGTTTCCATGGTAATGATTTTAGTCTCTTATGGTAAGAGAGCAAGAACACGTTTCACTGTAGTTGTCATTCAGTTTATATCATCAATCTCTTGAAAATTGTGAAAATCACCTCACAAGAAAAATCAGCTATGTGTGGAAAACCTAAAATGTGTTTGTTACCTTGAAGTGGATCGTCGGACACAAAGCTGAGCTTCGTCACACAGGATGTGGATAGGAAATCGCTGAGCTTCCCCATATGGACACTAGAATAGATTAGTACATGTAAATATAAGAACCTTAATTAGTATTCAGGGATGCTTGGAATTTTCTTTTTTTGTTACCAAAAATGAATCATTATTCCAGTAATTTATTACTTCTTTTACAAAAATAATAAACCCTGTCACTGGAAAATACACAATTCACATGGTATAGGAGCAGCGTAGGATCTTTTAAGTTTGCTGTAAATATACATGTATAAGATGAAGATAAGAAATGACCGAGTGTCATCTGATGATAGAACATTCAGATGGAAGGTGTATTAAAGCATCTGATATATACTGACCGTGTACCAGCTATACATCTGATATATACTGACCTGTCCCAGCTATACATCTGATATATACTGACCGTGTACCAGCTATACATCTGATATATACTGACCGTGTACCAGCTATACATCTGATATATACTGACCGTGTACCAGCTATACATCTGATATATACTGACCGTGTACCAGCTATACATCTGATATATACTGACCGTGTACCAGCTATACATCTGATATATACTGACCGTGTCCCAGCTATACATCTGATATATACTGACCGTGTACCAGCTATACATCTGATATATACTGACCGTGTACCAGCTATACATCTGATATATACTGACCGTGTACCAGCTATACATCTGATATATACTGACCGTGTACCAGCTATACATCTGATATATACTGACCGTGTACCAGCTATACATCTGATATATACTGACCGTGTACCAGCTATACATCTGATATATACTGACCGTGTACCAGCTATACATCTGATATATACTGACCGTGTACCAGCTATACATCTGATATATACTGACCGTGTACCAGCTATACATCTGATATATACTGACCGTGTACCAGCTATACATCTGATATATACTGACCGTGTACCAGCTATACATCTGATATATACTGACCGTGTACCAGCTATACATCTGATATATACTGACCGTGTACTAGCTATACATCTGATATATACTGACCGTGTATCAGCTATACATCTGATATATACTGACCGTGTACCAGCTATACATTTGATATATACTGACCGTGTACCAGCTATACATCTGATATATACTGACCGTGTACGAGTTATACATCTGATATATACTGACCGTGTATCAGCTATACATCTGATATATACTGACTGTGTCCCGGCTATACATCTGATATATACTGACCGTGTACGAGTTATACATCTGATATATACTGACCGTGTACCAGCTATACATCTGATATATACTGGCCGTGTACCAGCTATACATCTGATATATACTGACCATGTCCCGGCTATACATCTGATATATACTGACCGCGTCCCGGCTATACATCTGATATATACTGACCGTGTCCCGGCTATATATCTGATATATATTGACCGTGTCCCGGCTATACATCTGATATATACTGACCGTGTACCAGCTATACATCTGATATATACTGACTGTGTCCCGGCTATACATCTGATATATACTGACCGTGTCCTGGCTATACATCTGATATATATTGACCGTGTCCCGGCTATACATCTGATATATACTGACCGTGTACCAGCTATACATCTGATATATACTGACGGTGTCCCGGCTATACATCTGATATATACTGACCGTGTCCTGGCTATACATCTGATATATACTGACCGTGTCCCGGCTATGTAACCACTCTGTAGTTTTTTGATGGTGGCCACGAGAGCTGCTGGAAGGTGCTGACCCATATCTGTAACCAAGCAACATGCGTACTGCTATAGGAACGTAATTAGCATAAAATCTTACAAATCTATCTGTCTGTTATTTTAATTCAATGACTGTTTCATAACAAGACATACATGCTACTTTTTATTATTATTATCGGTTCATAATTTAAGGGTAAGGATTTCTATATAGTTCAACTATTGATTGGATAATCTGTAATTATCATCAATGTTATTGGTACATTATGGGATGTATATTTTAATATAGCCAAAACTTATCCTCAAATTGAATACCACCAATATATCAGCTAATGCCCTTACCTTATCCTCAAATAAATATGTAGAGCTAATTCCCTTACATTATCCTCAAATAAATATGTAGAGCTAATGCCCTTACATTGTCCTCAAATAAACATGTAGAGCTAATGCCCTTACCTTATCCTCAAATAAATATGTAGAGCTAATTCCCTTACCTTATCCTCAAATAAACATGTACAATATTTTTTAGACAGATTTCAATTCCAATCCACATCATGACAGCCATGCACATGGTACTGTATGTACATATACACAATCACTACATTCAGTTAAGAGAAAGAGTTGTTACCTTGTTACATTTAAAGTTACAAATTTACGTGGTGTGGTTGAAGCAGGATTTTTTTCAATGAGATTAACAAAGTCAGTTTGAAAAACAACACACTATGCCCCCTCCAACAAACTTGGTACAAACGTATCAAGGGGAAGAAAACTTTCAAATGTTGTGACCTTATGTCATTGTGTTTTGACTTCTGACATTAGCATCAAGTATTTACATACATTTTCTAACTCATATGTCTTTGTATATAACTGTACAGTCATATTGGTTACATTTCATTTATCACTATACGTAGTAAGATAAAACTCCTGGTTCTATGTAAACCAACCTAACTTCATTGTGAGGTTGACTTTGAGCCCTATGTACATTTAGCCCAATTCTCCCTATTTTTCTGAGTGTAACAAGTTGAGGTAACATTCATCACGTCGCGAGGAACTGTCACTGATTTTAACCAATAATCTTGTGTCCATGATTTTTATCTTCTGTCTCAGCAGCCTACATAACTACTTCCTTCTCATGGTGAACAGCTGCAGTTACATAGTTACTGTCCATTCTAAACTTCGACATATGTACTGAAGTTTAAACAAAAGCCTTTAACTATACTGACATATAACAGACCGGGTTCAGTTACATAAAAGTGCACTCAGCCACATTGTGGAGTGGCTTAACAAATACTGGAAACAAAAATTAGACAAAATTTAGATAACATCAAATATGTAATACAATATCGCATTTTATACTTATTTCTAACACTGTGTATATGCACATCCCAAACTCAAGCCACAGGAGCTCAAAACGTAAGAAACTTGTACTTAGGCAGACTATAAGCACAGTGCTGTTGCCAGGCAAACTGAAGAACACAACGCCATAACAGTTATTTGTAAATTAATCTGATTTGCAGAGAACCATGAACATTACAGCCAAATTATAAACACCACCTACCTAGGAAGCTATTACTGATAAGGAGGGTTACCGTCGGACGACCAAGTCCTTTCCAGGAATTTTTCAGGTATGTGATCTCATTTCGGAAATGATCGACCGTAAAAGTGGTGTCAAGGGTTAGGTAAAACTGTTGCTGATCCATAAACTATAAGAAAATGGTCAGAAAAATACACAAGTACTTAACTAGTCCTTTTATAGAACTATAAAGTAAATAAATAGCAGCATGTCATCCATATACCATACAAGCATACATTAGGTGATTAAAGTCAGTCAGCATTCCATACATTTCAAAGCATATTTAAAAGGCTGTAAAGTGTAAGGGGAGAAACTGCACCACACTGATCGCAAACCACACCCAAACCCGTCCCCTAGGGACCTTCAGGATGTCTTATACAAAACTACACCCAAGCCTGTCCCCTAGGGACCTTCAGGATGTCCTATACAAAACTACACCCTAACCCGTCCCCAAGGGACCTTCAGGATATCCTATACAAAACTACACCCAAACCCGTCCCCTAGGGACCTTCAGGATGTCCTATACAAAACTACACCCTAACCCGTCCCCAAGGGACCTTCAGGATATCCTATACAAAACTACACCCAAACCTGTCCCCTAGGGACCTTCAGGATGTCCTTTACAAAACTACACCCAAACCCGTCCCCTAGGTACCTTAAGGATGTCCTATACAAAACTACCCCCAAACCTGTCCCCAAGGGACCTTCAGGATGTCCTATACAAAAATACACCCAAACCAGTCCCCTAGGGACCTTCAGGATGTCCTTTACAAAACTACACCCAAACCCGTCCCCTAGGGACCTTTAGGATGTCCTTTACAAAACTACACCCAAACCCGTCCCCTAGGGACCTTCAGGATGTCCTATACAAAACTACACCCAAACCCGTCCCCTAGGTACCTTCAGGATGTCCTATACAAAACTACACCCAAACCTGTCCCCTAGGGACCTTCAGGATGTCCTACACAAAACTACACCCAAACCTGTCCCCAAGGGACCTTCAGGATGTCCTATACAAAACTACACCCAAACCCGTCCCCTAGGGACCTTCAGGATGTCCTTTACAAAACTACACCCAAACCCGTCCCCTAGGGACCTTCTGGATGTCCTATACAAAACTACACCCAAACCCTTCCCCAAGGGACCTTCAGGATGTCCTTTACAAAACTAAACCCAAGCCTGTCCCCTAGGGACCTTCAGGATGTCCTTTACCAAACCTTATATCTCTCCTCAAGGGATCTAGCAAATATTCTTTACTAAACTACACTCAAATATGTCCCTAGGGATTGAGACAACGTCCTAATCTTAGATATACTCTAAACTTTGTGATTTCTAGTGTAACACTGAATGAACTAGAAGGTACCATCATTGATCTATGTGATTGAAAACCTGCCCAATTTAATCTTTTTTATCAAAAAGATATATTTAGTGTATAAACATGAATGAAATATCCCAATTCACTATATCAATATTAATAAAACCTTCCCCACCTTTACTTCAGTAAGAAGTGCTTTAGAGGTCCCTATTCCGGTTACTAGAGGTTTGGATATGTAAGGAACCTTGTTAGTCCAGCAAGCTTGTTAACTGATCTGAGGCCAGACTAAGGAGGTTCCACTGATCTGAGGCCAGACTAAGAAGGTTCCACTGTGTGTCTATCAGGGGTACAGCTGAGTGTGTAACACATATCAAGTGGCAGGCATCACATAGAATCATGCAAGTAAATGGGCAAGAGCAGATATAAGTGTTCTGTGAGACAGAATATTGAGCAGTCTGTAAATAAAATGTTACTACAAACTGCAGAGAACCAGATAAACAATCTGAAAACAAAAAGGCCTGATGATGTGAGCTCAAAGGCTTAACTACAATTTCTCAAAACACTACATGTGTAGGTTAAAACCCACAGGTGTAATTACATTATTAGTAGTCTTAAAACTCATAGGTGTAATTACATTATTAATAGTCTTAAAACTCACAGGTGTAATTACATTATTAATAGTCTTAAAACGCACAGATGTAATTACATTATCAATAGTCTTAAAACTCACAGGTGTAATTACATTATTAATAGTCTTAAAACTCACATGTGTAATTACATTATTAATAGTCTTAAAACTCATAGATGTAATTACATTATTAATAGTCTTAAAACTCACAGGTGTAATTACATTATTAATAGTCTTAAAACTCACAGGTGTAATTACATTATTAATAGTCTTAAAACTCACAGATGTAATTACATTATTAATAGTCTTAAAACTCACAGGTGTAATTACATTATTAATAGTCTTAAAACTCACAGGTGTAATTACATTATTAATAGTCTTAAAACTCACAGATGTAATTACAGTATAATTATTTTACACAATTTAGCTGTATTATTTACAACTAAAGCAACAAATCAGCTAGGCCTTTCCATTTTTTCGATATTTACTGATACCTCAAGTACAAACTACACTTTCCTGGGAAGTTCCTGAGCTTTATGATGACTATACATACATCTATTTCACTCTAAAACGGATTGAAGCTCCAACAAAAGATAATTTTGTTGCAAAATAAATTAGCCAATTTTTTTTCATGACTACCACCAGTCATTTAAATCAGAAGATGATCAGGATTCTTTTAAATGAAAATATTGAAAGAAAAATATTCAGGAGTTTCTCTTCGAGTGAAAGTTCAAGCAGCTTGTTATGTTTACCATAGCTGTCCATCCTTTACTTGATTCGGGATTAAATCATTAGGCTTTTGAAATGAATAAAATATACTTGTGATTTTACTACTTAATACGAAACCCTGTACATATAATAAATTTACTCACACAATAAGGACATTGGACAGGTATGGTATCAAAGCAACGGTTATTACAGGCTGAAATAAAACATGCCAGAACAGCAGCCTCTTTATACTACAGGTAAATCTACAACAAATCAGTTACACTAAGCAAGGTGAGGGGTCAGGGAGGCTAATCCCACCTAACATGGTCCCCAGAATTGGGAAGAGAAAGACTGGACGTCCCAGCATACTCCAGTTCCGAGACAGAAATTCCACATCATTTTGGAAAATGTCGACAAGAAATTCTGTATCTAGGGGTAGATAGAACTGATGCTGATCTACAAACTGAAAAACAAGGTTAGTTTCAGGAGATACTCATTACAAAGCAATTAAAAGTGTAACACATTATTATTATTTTGGTACAAGTACACATATTTCTATATAATAACAATATTTTGTCAATGAATTAGTAAGAATACTCACTATGAGTAAAATGACAAGTGATTGTAGGTAGCATATACCCTAAGTTCTCAATAATAAGTCTGATAACAAAATTGGCCTTCCTTAAAGTTAAGCCTTAGATTCCTCACAGAAAATAGACTTTTAAACTAGACCTGTTTTTGTCAATGAAAAATCTCAAAATAAAAATGCAAGAATTTTAAAGTGGACTATATATTAATTTTACACAAACAGCAATATAAAAATCATTTGAGTATGACTTCAAACTTCAAAACTAAGACAGCCTTGAAAACAAGCCAGCTGGGATAACAAATCTAGGATTTCTTCCTAAACTTGAACATGACCCACTGCTTACTATAGAGATTTTAGGGTACAGTTAGTAGCAACTTATAAGTCAATTATCTGAGACTGTATATATATATAGTGCCTCAATTTAGTCAAGCTTTTACAGTTTTGTTCCTAAATCAATCTTGCACAATTTGAATTTCACACAACAATAGTAAATAGCAGTTACTATCCTTAAATTAATTTCTATCGGAATGACAATGAATTCGCAGGGTTTCCATTTTCATGTAAAACATTTAAAACGAAGAAAACCTTTGCAAAATACAAGCACTATACATTCTATACGATGTCAGCACTATACATTCTATACGTTGTCAGCACTATACATTCTATACGATATCAGCACTATACATTCTATACGATGTCAGCACTATACATTCTATACGATGTTAGCACTATACAATCTATACGATGTCAGTACTATACATTCTATACAATGTCAGCACTATATATTCTATACAATGTCAGCACTATACATTCTATACAATGTCAGTACTATGTATTCTATACAATGTCAGCACTATACATTCTATACAATGTCAGTACTATGTATTCTATACAATGTCAGCACTATACATTCTATACAATGTCAGTACAACATGATCTGTGTTATGTTTCTCCAAATGGTGACTCCATGCCATAAACAGCCTCAAGCTTACTACACTGATTAAAAGATGAAAATCTTGTATCCAATACACACACATTTCTTCATAATTTGTTCAAGGTTTGACTACCTCACTCATTTGTGGATAATGTAATGTTAATCATGATGCTCCACTATTTTTATTCAATGTTGGTTTATGGGAGAAACGCAAAATCAAACTCATGATGATCATCAGCTGTGATATATATTCATTTAAATACATTAATTCTTAACATTTTCACTTCCATTTGGAGGTCGTACTGGTGCCTAAAAGGATTTACATATATATAATGTTAATTTTTAAAAATGGTTATTGTTTTGTATTTTTTTCTTTTCCAGATTTTTCAATTCATGGAAATCATCTCATTGGTTTTGATAGTTAGAAAACATTTGCCACCAAACAGGCACTCATAAACAGGAGTGTATTGAACAAAATGAAAATTGCCATGGAACATTATTTGCTGATAAAATGTTATTTCAAGTAGTACATGTACTATGCATTTGAGAAACAATTCCATGAAGTTAAGTATGGGACATGCAGCCTGTTCAGAGGTTCACAACTAGATAAAACAACCACAGCAGGAACATATCCCATCATAACACAAAGTTCAATTCTATTTTACATGGAACGGAGCCTACACTACATTTTTATTATTATGGGAAAACCGCTGAGATGTCGAAACATAAGTTGTTCGGCGATTCTCTGGCATAGGAATTAGCTACACTTTCTTCGTTTGATTTCTGCAGGATTCGTCCATCATCCACTCGTTCTAAGCGGTACGGAGGGAGACCTTCATGGGCCTGTTTACTCCAATAAATCAATCGTTAATTAATCGGCGTTATGAACACCAAGCTACATTTGATGCTACTTTTCCAGTTTGATACCGGTTACTTTCATGATTTTTTTTGTCCCA